AACAACTCAATAGAAAAAATATCCAATTTAAAAAGGATACACATTTCTCGAAAGAAGACATAGAAATGGCCAATAGTGTATGAAAAAATTCTCAACATTACTAATCATCAAAACCACAATAAGATATCATCTCACCCCAGTTAAAATGGCTTTTATCAAAAAGACAGGGAATGACAAATGCTGGTGAGGATGTGAAGGAAGGGTAGCCCAGGTACACTGTTGGTGGGAATGTAAATTAGTACAGTTACTATGGAAAACTGTATAGAGGTTACTTAAACAACTAAAAATGGAGCCAGGTGCAGTGACTCACACCTGTAATCCTAGCACTCTGGGAGGCCGAGGTGGGAGAGAATTGCTCGAGGTCAGGAGTTTGAGACCAGCCTGAGCAAGAGTGAGACCCCATCTCTACTAAAAATAGAAACAAATTAATTTGCCAACTAAAATATATAGAAAAAATTAGCTGGACATGGTGGTACATGCCTGTAGTCCCAGCTACTCGGGAGGCTAAGGCAGGAGGATCACTTGAGCTCAGGAGTTTGAGGTTGCTGTGAGCTAGGCTGACGCCATGGCACTCTAGCCTGAGCAACAGAGTGAGACTCTTTCAAAAAAAAAAAAAAAACAACTAAAAATGGAACCACCATATGATCCAGCAATTCCACTACTTGGTATATACCCAAAAGAAAGGAAATAAGTATATTGAAGAGCTATGTGCACTCCCATGTTTATTGCAGCACTATTCGCAATAGCCAAACTATGGAATCAACCTAAGTTCCCATTAGTGGATAAATGGATAAAGAAAATGTGGTATACATACACAATGGAATATTATTCAGCCATAAAAAGAATGAAATCTTGTCATTTGCAGCAACATAGAACTGGAGGCCATTTTATTAAGTGAAATAAGCCGAGCACAGAAAGACAAATATTGCATATTTTCACTTATATATGGCAGCTAAAAATCTTCATGAGATATGGATCTCATGAAGATAAAGAGTAAATGAGTGGTTACCAGAAGCTGGGAAGGGTAAGAGGAGGGGAGCATGAAGAGAGGTTAATTAATGGGTACAAATAGACAGTTTGATAGGACAAATAAGACCTAGTGTTTGATAGATCGGTAGGATGACTGTAGTTTACAATAATCTGTTGTATATCTCAAAATAGATAGAAGAGAATAATTTGAATGTTTCTAGTATAAAGAAGACAAATATTTAAGGTAATGGATATCCCAATTACACTGATTTGATCTTTACAAATTATATGAATGCATCAAATTATCACATGTACCCTGAAAATATGTACATTTACCATGTATCAATTTTTAAAAATAAACCATCTTTGGTGTCTTCCATGGTGCCTAGCACAGGGCTGGGAATATGGGTGGTAGGTTCTCAATAAAGAAACAAAAGTGGCAGTAGCCATGGAAATCATTGCTGGTGGCCCTCTCTACCCCATGCCTCCATGTAGTTCTTGCTTTTTTTTTGGCTTCTCCCTCTTTGTTCCTTAAGCAATGCCTGAGAACGCAGGGCCAGGCAGATAGAGTTCTAGGTGGAGCCATGTTGCTAATTACCTGTAGAGCTCTGAGCCAATAGCCTTTTTTGGACCTCAGTTTCTGAAACTCTAAAATGGGTAGGGACCATTCAAGTCATGTCAAAGTGAGAAGAGGACTGGTGTAGGTCAACAAGGGTGGAGAGGACCAGAGGATTACAGGAACTGCCAATGTGCCTGGCCTCCTTTGTATGGTCTCTTCCATACATTCAGGTTTCCTTCTCTCCTCTGCCTTAGAGTAGACAGATCCCTTTGCCATTTCTTAGTTCAGTTATCTCCTCCAGCAAAATTCTGCAAGTCCTACTTCCTCCCCAGTGTTCTCAGGAACTGCTGGAACCTTCAGTCAATGCCTACTCTTCTGAATGGTGTCAGCATCTGATATCTGGGCCACCCTTTGGGACACCTCTTAGTCTATTCCCTTGTAAAGCTACTCGTGTTCAGGTTTATAAGAAGGCAACAGAGGGTGGAGAGCTGAGGACTTGGGTGCTTTCCAGACAACTCAGGACAGAAGCACCATTATTATTAAGAGGGAAGATTTCCGACTTAAACTACTCAACTAATTGCTCCACTGCATACTTCAGAATGTAACAGCAGAAGTATTTTGTCTTCCAACCTTCAAGACTAGGCTATGAGATCATCATCATGGCTCAAAGTTCTTCAAAACACTTACCATTTGCAAAATAAAGGTGGCAAGCTGAGCAGATGGTGGGGGAAAGGGGAGAGGCTGAGCTGCTGCTCTATTTTGGGAACTCCTGTGCTCACAAGAACCAGGTCTTTGAGACACAGCTGTGGATCTGATGACCTGATGCCTTTGACATCTGAGCAGGAGCTGTTGGAGCTCTCCCACGCTGGAGATCCACTTCAAAAGGGCCCTGTGGTTTGGGGACGCTGGACTCCCTTCCACGACAACCACTTTCCGCCTGGCTGAGGCTCATGATGGCCTAAGGGGTATCAGGACTCCTGGCGGTGTTCTGTTAGCACCTCCTGGGAAGGTCCCCAGCAGACGAAGAAGACACAACAAAAGATGAGTAAATAAGCATAAAGAGCAGCCAAACGTTGCTGCCTCAACCAAGTTGCTCATCGTCTGTGCTGGAGATGGTGTCTCTTTGGACAGGCTGGGTGGAGCCATGGCCTTGTCCTTTTTATAACAAGGGAGTCATTGAGTAATTTCAAAATAACATTTCCTTCACTATGCAGAGGAAGAAAGAGACCAGAGCGTGTCATCTCCAGGACCAGAGGGAGACATGCTTCACTGAGGGAGAGATCAACGGTGTCCATTGCCAGGGGGAGCCCAAGCAGGAAGAGCTCTGCAAGGGTCTTGTGGAACTTACTGACAAGGATGCTGCTGAGTGGCCCTGAAGAGAGCAGGTGCAGGAGGCCCAGGTGCCCTAGGAACAGGGCCCTGAGTCAGTGCCGTCCGATCGTGAGCGAGGAAGAGAAGACTGAGCATTCCGGAGCAGAAAACTCATAAAAGGCATTGGGAGGGAGCAGGGGATGTGGTCCACATTGCAGGGTGGGGGCTTAGCTTCGACATGAGGCAGACAGAAGCAAGTAATGGGAGGTGGCCTTAAGAGAAATAAATTTTTTCTCTCTGCTTTACTCTGATTTTACCTTGAGAATAATGTTTGTTAGTAACTAATAAACATGGCGGGGAGCTCTGGGCTCCCTGGACGTATGTGCTCAAGGATATGGTGGGAGCGTCACCTCAGGAAGGCCTCCGGTTTTCCCTGTTATTCCCTGGAAAGCTGTTGCTGCTTCCTCCCCGGCATCGCACATCACATGCCTGAGGAAGTTTCCAAAGTCTGGTCTGAGCATGGCTGGTGGATGCAGAAACAAAACCCGGGGGCATGATCTGGATTTCACAGCAGGCGTTCCATGGGATATGGGTGGCTGGCAGGGTGGCTTCAAGGGCATGCGACCATGGCAACCTCCCAACGTCGTGTGTTCAGACGGGGGCCCAGGCTTGGGGCTTAATGCTCTGTGGTCTCTACCTTCACATTGCCAGTGATCTCACCTCTGTATCTGTGTTCGGTAAGTGAAGTCTGATGGACAGTGGAGCGAGTCGCGGGGCTTGGAGCCTAGGCTCAGTGCAGCCCTCCCTCCCACCACCTCCCGAGAATGGGTTCTCTGCCTCTGCTCTCACACCTCACCCAGAAACTGCCGCCTCCGACCAGCGTGAGCAAGTGAGACAGCCCAGGGACAGGCGGTGTCCTGGTTGGGCGCACACCCCCTGGTACCTGTGGGGCCTGCGCTCCCCGGAAAGTATTCCTATGCTCAAGGGTGAGCAACATGCAACAGCAAATAGAAAACACCAGCATGGGTCAAGAGAGAGAAGGAGACAGGAAACAGCTTTTTTCCGAGCTTTTAGAACAAGAGGCCCCACATTTCCATTTTGCACTGAGACCACAAATTATGTAGCTCTCCCTGGTAACTGGTAGAAAAGGAGCCAGGGGTCCCGAGAAGCAGAAAGTTTCCTGGAGTTTCCATCATTATTTGTCCAACTGTTAGCCACCAAACACTTCACAGGCTCTAGGGACAAAATGACTAAAAAGACATAGTTCTTGATTTCAGTGAGCTTAGAGACTGGGAAGTCCACATGGGCACAAATGAACATGAGGAAGCGGGCCCAGGGCTCTGGGAGCACCAGAAGGGCCGAGGAGGCTTCTCGGAGAACATCTCCTCTGAGTGCTGAGTGAGGGTCACTGAGAGGAAGAAGAGGCAGCTGCTCTCCCACAGAGGCAGGGCATACACAGCCAGTTTGGAAGCTGCAAATTGTTCCCGTAGCTGGAGCACAGGAGAGGAGAGCTGGGAGAAGTAAGGCCAGACTGCAAGGGGCCTGTTCCTCATGCTGAGGCATTCCAGCTCCATCCTGAAGACTGTGGGGAACCACAGCAGGACTTTAAACTGGACCAACCTGCTCAGACCCATGCCTTAGAGAGATGGTGCCAACTCTGGGTGGGGGAACCCAGATTGGGGCCAGAAAGAACACTGAGGGTTTTATTTCAATCCTAAACCCAAGCAAGAAGTGATGAGGACCTGGACCAAGGCGGTGGAGGTGGGACTGGAGAGAATGGGCCCTGGTTGTATGATCTTTAGAGCGGTTTAGGAGGTGGAATAGAAAGGACAAGACACAGTGATGAATTAGCTGGGGTGAGGGTGACAAGCACAGGTGTAAAGGGTGAGTCTTGTATTTCTAGTGTGGGCCAATGGGGAGAACGGTGTGGGCAATGCTCATAGCATAAAGTCACAGGATGAGTAAAGTAGGCAGTTTTCTTAGTCCCCAATGGTCACCTCCTGATATTGATGCTCTTGCATTTTTGCCGCCTCTTGAAAGTGGGGTGGACCTGGTGACTTGCTTCCAATGAACAGAATATGGGAAAGGCTATGAGATGTTACTTCCGAGATGAAGTTATAAAAGACTATGACTCTCATCTTGTTCTCACTTACTCACTCAGAGGGAAGTCAGCTGCCGTGCTGTGATCTGCTCTATGGGGAGCCCATATGGCCAGGAACCAAAGGAGGCCTCTAGACATTGAATCCTGCCAACAACCACTTGAGTGGGCTTACAAACGATCCACCCCAGCAAGCCTTAAGGTGATGACAGCCCCAGCCAATACCTTGCAGTCTTAGGAGAAAACAAAGCCAGGGGACTCAGCTAACCTCACATGCAGGTTCCTGATCCACAGAAACTGTGACATGATAAATGCTGTTCTTTAAGCCACTATGGTTTTGTTGTTGTTGTTTTTGTTTTTTTGAGACAGAGTCTCACTCTGTTGCCCAGGCTAGAGTGCCGTGGTATCAGCCTAGCTCACAGCAACCTCAAACTCCTGGGCTCAAGCAATCCTGCTGCCTCAGCCTCCCAAGTAGCTGGGACTACAGGCATGCACCATCATGCCCGGCTAATTTTTTCTATATATATTTTTAGTTAGCCAATTAATTTCTTTCTATTTTTAGTAGAGATGGGGTCTTGCTCTTGCTCAGGCTGGTTTCCAACTCCTGACCTTGAGCGATCCTCCCTCCTTGGCCTCCCAAGAGTGCTGGGATTACAGGTGGGAGCCACCCTGCCCGGCCTTAAGCCACTATGTTTTGAGGTAAGTTTTTACCCAGTAATAATCAATACAATAAGCAAAATAGGGTTATCTTCACAAAGAATAAGAGAAGATAAATTTCAAGTACATTTAAAGAACTCCTGGAGCACTGATTTATAAACAATTGTTTTCCAAGTATGAATTATATTTACATATTCTTTGGACAGGCTCTCTTAGAATTTCTCCTGAGTTAGACTCTTATTTGTATATGCTCTTTACTTCTACTATAATACTTTTTAGACTGTGTGATGTCATCTCTCTTTGTATGTCTGTCTCCCCATTAAGCTGTAAGATCTTTGAAGACAGAAATCCTCTTCTGTTCAACTTAACTGACATTTAGCATGACAGGTAGGGTCAGTGATGACCAAGGATTTGTTGGATTAGATTCCAGTTGTTGAATATTTTCAAAATTTCTATAAAACTTTTGTTTGATTTGAAATTGCAATCATTAATCTAGTTCTACTCCCAAGAGAAATCTTGATATAAATTGGGTTCTGGTAAACTGAGACTAGCAGAGGCAGAAAGATTAATAAGAAAATTTTTATGTTCTCTAGTGCTCTTATTTGACATCTATTAAAAGTAGGTGAGTATAGTGTCTTACTTTATTCGCCCAGGGATAAATTGTTTAAAGCCTGGAAAGTTTAAGAATTTCAGAGGGAACTTGAAATTATGAAGTGTACAAAATATATTTCTTCTAACTGCTACCAAAATTCCAGAGATTCATGAATTCATTCATTTAGCAAATGGCTCCCTGCTTTGCCATTTTCCTGTGGGGCCTTGGACAAATTCCTTCTCCCCTCTGGACTCTGTGTCTTCAGCTATAAAATAAGAGGAAGGTGGTCAGATTGTGTATTTTCTAATTTCTACTTCCATGTCTCAAGTTCTCTGAGTCCTGTGAAATGTACTGGGATAGCGTGCTCATTTACACCTCTGGCAGACCTGGGTAAAATTTCACTCATGCTTTATAATGAATAAATTATTTTGGTTGGTGAGCCTCAGTATTCCCAGATTTAAAAGGGGGTTGCTGGTTAACAATAAGACATGAAATATGTAAAGCATCTGCCTAAAAAATAAAAATAAACAAATAGCCATGACCAATGTTTCAAGTGCTAATGAGGAAATACCAAAGAAAAATGTAAGACATTGGATCAACTTCCTAGAAATTTCCAGTCTGGTTGGGGACAACTATTATTTATGATAATCTTTGAAAATATCCTCCAGCCTCTGCTCAGGTAACTATTATCTAATCTTGACTAACCATACATTATTTCGTTAGCGTGAAAATTTTCCCAACGCTTTTGAGATTCAGCCAGCACACCTTGTCCTAACGCTGAATTTCCCGGCCTCGATACCTGTGGAAAGCAGTGGTTTCTCTTTTCATTTAGCTTACATTTGCTGCCCTGTAATTTGATTCTTCCCCTTCATTCCTGGACTGTCTCCTTTCTTCTCAAACAAGGGGCCTACTTCGGTTTTGACCAAGCCCTTCATCTTCCTGAATTTCTCAGCTAAATCGTTTCTAACGCTTCCCTTTTTCCAACATAAATAGTTCTTGTTCGCTCATTGTCCCACCCTGCCTCACCTCTGGCTCCAATTAGAGCAATATTTATTTTTCCTTTTTAAGAATCTCTGTAGCCTCTACTCTTCGGAAATGAGGCAACCCGGCTCGTGTTAAAAGCCCTTTATTATGGTCACAGAAAATCTGCTCTGACAAGATCCAGCTCGACAAGATTGTGTTCCTGGAGATCCTTCCCTCATTTATCTGTCATCTCACTTTCTAGGTCACATCATTTCCTAGCATCTAAAGTGTTGTCTGTTTATATATATTTTAAAGAAATGGAGGAGTGGAATGTGGAGCGAGTGCCTTGTGGTGCTGGAATGTAGAAAAGTCTCTTCTAATTTCCACGAAGGGCACGCTGCCATTTTCTGGAGAATGAAGAGGAACAAACACACATGTAACCTTTTTCCAAAGAATCAGTCAATTTTGAGGGGGTTTATTTTAGTTCTTTGAGACTGCCAATAGCAACCCAAAGCCCAAATGTAGACTCAGATTTGCTGAATCTAGGGCACAGGTCGACCCTCCAGGAAGCGAGTGTGAATATTCCCTGGAATCTTCTGGAAACACAGACAGTATTGAGGAGGTCGGGGCCATGAGAACTCCAGGATGACCCTACCCTCTTAGGAAACATCCAGTCACACAGTGGGTCCACTTGCATCAGGTGGGCCTGATATTCCCATGCTGAGGTCGTCTTCCTCAGCCCGGTCAGTCCCCTCCCTCATGATAGTATTAAATAATGACATCGACTCGTTGGTGCTTGCTAGCTACCAGAACCATGCCAAGCATGTGACAAGTGCGATCACACATACTCTTCACAGCCACACTAAAAGGGAGCTTCTATTATTACCATCCCCACAGACAATGAGGAAACTGAGGCCCAGTGATCGTAAATAACTTGACTGAAGGCACAAAGTGAGTGGAGAGCAGAGCCAGGATGTGACCTCAGACAGTCTGGCTCAGAGCCCAGTCTCTCAGCTCGGCTTGGCGAGAGGTATGAGTTGAGCTACGTCCCTCCAAAAATAGATATGCTGGAGCCCTAACCCCCAGTGCCTCAGAACGTGACCTTATTTAGAGACAGAGTCCTTACATAGGTAATCGGCTTAAAGTGAGGTCGTTGAGGGGGGCCTCGATCCAGTCTGGCTGGTGTCCTTATAAAAAGGGGAGATTTGGACACAGAGGCGGACACGCTCAGAGGGAAGGTGACGTGAAGAAGCATGGAGCAGAGGACGCCTACAAGCTGAGGACAGAGGCCTGGAACGGCCGTCTCTCTCTCAGCCCTCAGAAGGAGCCCGCCTGCCAATGCCTTGATTTTGGATTTCTAGCCCCCTAAAACTGTGAGAGAATAAATGTGTGTTGTTCAATCCACCCAGTTTGTGGTACTTTGTCACAGCAGCCCTAGAAAATGAACATGGTTAATGATCCTCATTGTAAGGCGGAGTCACTCTAAGGTCAAAATTCATTTAGCAAAAACTCACGGTTTCTCCTTCAATGTGATCATATGACCTTGGCTGGGGCTCAAATATTCTTAATTCCTAGGTGGGCAGAGTCTGAACTTACAGAGGTGAAGTATTCTTATGCAGGGGGGTGTAATACACACCCAGTTTCTGTGCATTCATAGCAGAGCCTGGAGTGAGCCCAGGACCCACCTGTGACTGGGCAGGAGATGGCCGTGGTTCCCTGGAACACGCTCACCAGCAAAGAAGCAAGTCACATGGATTTGCATAAGGGAGAAAAACTCAGTGTGACTTTAGGGACAGCACCTTGAGGCACACTCATATCCTCCTGCCCACCAGCCTTGGGCCTGGGTCTTCAAGAGAGGGGACTGTGGGTGAACAACGTAGGAGTGACTGGGCTCAGTCAAGCCCAGTGACACACTGAGAGCGAAGGCGGCAGCACAGCCTGCGTGCCCACGTATGGGGGTGGCTTACAGAAGGAGGAGCAAGGGACGCTCCCACCTGGCAGGAGAGAACTGCAGGGCTTGAGGACACTAGGACCCCCAGGCACAGCTGCCTTGACAGCGCCCAGGACTTGCGCAGCCCAGGGAGCAGGCACCATGGTTATCGCAGCTCCTTCCCCCGGTCCTGAGCATCATCTTCCTCCCGCAGACCCAGCCTCAGCAGCCACTTTATGGCCATCCCAGACGTGAACGGCAGGTCACCATCAAAGCCTGGAGCATTGGGAGCATGGCACACACCTGAGAAATATGGCAAATTCCAGCGCGGAGGAGACAACACGCTCTTTGGGAGCACACTTGTGGGCTGTGGAAGTCGGGACAAGCATCTTAACCTCTCTGAGCCTCACAGTCACCATCTGTGAACCAGGGATGACATCTACCTTGCAGGACTATGGGGAGTCCTGGAACAATGTATGTAAATAACATAGCACTGGGCCTGGCACACTGCAGGTGCCAAATAAATAGTAGTTATGATTATGGAGATGGTTATATATTTGTGTATAAATAGATGGATCCATTCGGATGTGTACACTATTCTCTTATTTAGCACAAACACTAAAGAGCTGTATGTAAATCAAGTGATTTATTGAGTAATTCTTTCATTCGACAAATATTTATTAAGCCCCTATCATGTGCCAGCTTCTGGGGTTCCGGCAGTGAACAGGCTCCAAGTGAGCGGGGCCTGTGGGGCGTGTGGGCACGGACGAGATGGTAGTTCCAGGGAAAGATGCACAAGGAGACAGTCCCTGCACACTGTGATGCAGTCTGCAGGAGGCGACGGACACGTACCGTGGGATCCCATTTTAGGGGCAGAACGGCAGTAAGAAGGGGCATTTTCTCTGCTATGTAGCGTGAACAGAAAGCAGCCCTCACTTAGGAAATGAGAGAGAACTCAAGTCCTAGCTCTCCATTTGAGTAGTCCAAAGAAGGAAGGAGTGAAGAAGTGTCTTTTTTTTTTTTTTTTTTTTTTTTTTTTTGAGACAGAGTCTCACTCTGTTGCCTGGGCTAGAGTGCTGTGGCGTCAGCCTAGCTCACAGCAACCTCAAAATACTGGCCCAATTCAACGCAATCCTCCTGCCTCGGCTCC